AAGTTTTTCCCCAATCCCGTCATCCCCCCCCCCCCCCCCAAATAGGGTTATATTGCCAAGACCACATTCAGTTAGCACCTCAAGGACCAAATAGCTTGGATTCCCAAGTCAGCCACAGCAACGGCATTGAGCCCAGGCTCAACGCAACTGTCCTGTGATTGCACATACCACTAGAAACTGTGTCATTTTGAGCATCTAATTTTGGGTCTCATTCCCAGCATCCATTACTTGAGCACCCTGGAAAGCTCATTCAGGGCCTAAGAACACAGCAGCACCAGGATAGACTCAACTGCAGAAGTCTAATTCTGACTTTGCTTATGCATGTGCACATAGGGAGAGGAATGTTACTTGGTCAAGATAGGCTACGGGGAAGCAGATGTGCCAGAGCCATGACAGTTGCTGACAGCAGCTCTCAGGAACCATACCTACAGTGAAACCTTAAGTTTGTTTGAGTGCTGAATGGCACACCACTCCTGCACATGCCTGTTTACAGCTAAGGCTGCTGTACCACTTTAATAGGGCCTATGTCACACATCACATTTCTGACAAGCCGCCCTCCCAGTCACTCCCTGTACTGCTGACACGGCCTCTGAGAGGCACCTGCGTGCTCCCTGCCACGCCGGGCCTTGTGATTCTTCCCTAGGGAAGAAGAGCAGAAGCCTACTCTGAGGGAATCATTTTGCTGCACTCCAATGGGAAACAACACCTAGTGTGATACAAATCACATGTCAGAGCCTCTCCTGCCAGCAGCGCCAGCCAAAGATAAAATACTTCATGCAATAGTGCCCACATAGGTTTCCCTGGCAGGAGAACCGATTCCGAGGTCAAGACTCCCCGCAGCTACCATGAGACGTCTCTGCAGTGAAAAGCTACAGTGACTCTGCATTTACTCAGAGGCGGTTTCACAAATCAAGGTGGTGTGAAGTCACCCTTTGGGGAGCCTTTGTGGGGACAATGGGGCTTTGTCTTCTCAAACAGGCTTTCCAAACACACCCCTGCAGCCACCTGTTTCCTGCTGCAGCAAGATGGGAACACGCACATGGATCCCTCCACGCTAGCAACGGGCAACAGCCTGACTTCCCATGTGCTGCTATAAAGGAAAGTAAAAACAATCCTTGTACTCTAACAATAACAGCCCTTGCTGGAGCTGAATTTTACCTAGCCAGGCAAAACTTGCATAGACACTGTAAATTGTCCCTCCCTGTCAGCCCCTCAAGGCACAAAACACTAATGAGTCCAGTGGAATGTGCTAAAAATGGCAAGAAGAGTTGGCGCTGCCTGACCCAAAGCCAGGTGGGTCCAGTATTAACAGCAAGCCAGTTCCCGGTGGAACAAGTCTGTATTGGCTTGCAGACAGTATGTTAATAGACCCTGCAGTCTGGGAGAACCTAATTGAGAATAGGTAATCTAGGAAAAAAGCATCTCTGTGGCTAGATTTTTACTGCTACTCCCATAAACACACTGAGCTGTAAAGCTCCCCCAGGGAAATCACACAGTTAGGTCAGAATGGGACTGCACACAGAAACAAGCACTTGGAAAAGCTGAATGAGAGAAACTTAGCACTGATCGGCTCTACAGGCAAAGAGCATCACCCCCAAGGAGAAGCAAAGCTACCACGGTTGCTGTGAGAGCTGGATCAGAGAGAGCAGGGAACAGCCAGTCCCAAACAAGCACACAGACAAAAGTAGCCCACTGCTTATGGAGAAAGCAAGGACATCTGAAAGCTAAATGTCTCTCTAGAGCTTTACTGATTGCTTTCTAAAGAGGGTACAGAAAGACTGTGGCCAAGAGGGTGCATATAGAAAACATAAAAGGCTCCACTAGGAACTCGCTTTCAGCGAGACCAGGAATGCCTGTAGGTGCAGCAATGAAGAATCCTGGAGCGAGCTAGCAAGTGAATTAATTTATCATGTTTCACAGAACAGCCACATACACTGTGACCCAGCAGTATCAATGACAAATGCCACAGCTCTGTTCTTCACCAGAGGTCAGCAGGCTGACCTTTACAGCAAGGGAAGAGAAGAGGCACAAGCAGTTAACCACAGCATGGGATGCGTTACACGTTCATGCTCTACCTTACTTTGCAGCAACTTGGACTTGTGTTCATGGCTCAAAGATTCGAAGGACAGTCCTGTCGTCCCATATACACATCAGATGCTAACTTGACAGCCTTTTATTTCTTCTGCTGCTGCTGTCACTGCAGTGGATTTGCACAGTTGCACATGCTATCCATGAAAGGATGCAGGTATTCCTTTTAACTAGGCTCTGCTCTCTTCCAGCACTAGCCAGTTCTGCAAAGACCCACGTCTAAATGTGAGGTAGCTTCCTTCAGGTTTGTAGTGGATCCACATTTGGCACCTGTAAATTTTGGAAACTAAACCTGGTAGAACTTTTTGGAGGAAAATATGGGATTGACTGGAGGAGGAACAAGCAGTACCAGACTCTTGTGAGGGCATGAATTGAAGATACGTTAACCTTCAGTTCTACGTTAATTCCTACTAAGTTTTCACACCCATCCAAGATAGATCTCAAGTCTTCTAGAGAAACTTCCCCTGGGGGAAGGTAAGGCTGGTGATATGTCAATAATAATGTAGGAAAAAGGCTAGTGGTCATGCAACCAAACAAGCGCTTTGGAGTTTTGCTTTAGGAACTGTGCTGTGAGTTAGCCCTAAGACAGGAAATCAGTGTAGCTTGTAATTGTAAACAATTCAGAAACAGTCTAACCACAGGATGCCTTTGGGACAAAGCTATCGCTGCAAAGCAAGAGTTGATGTCAAAAGCAGCTAATGCAGGTTAGGTTCCAAGTAACTATTCAGCGCTAAGTGTGTGGCAGGGTCCTGAAAACCTGCCCTCCTCCACCCTGTCAGGCATCAGAGTGCTTCATAAACCTTCTTCAACCCCCCACAACACAGCACCTAGGATGCATCCAAGTGCTATAACGCTCATTGTGCAAAGGAAGAAATATCCCAGTGGGATCAGAGAAGGACCAGGCTAACACCCTCCACCCAGTTCTAATGACATTTGCCACCTCCTGCAACGCCAAACTTCCTAATAGCTTCTGTCAGTAACCCTGACTGGTACTGCATAATTCAGCAGCTTTCTTTCCTTTGAACTTTGAAATACAGTAATTACACTAGCATGCTTCATGCACACTGTAAGGCATGAGCCTCATTTGGAAAAGTGGTCTGGCTGGCATGGATTTTTTTTGCAAATTAGATTTGAGGGTTTCTTTCCCCTTCAGATACTGCACTATCCCTTTCCAGCTTCCCACTAGATGAAATATTTCACTGAAATCCCAGTCTGCAGGCAAGAATGCCAAGAGGAGCTGTCACCGCTGCTTTGTTTCTCTAAGAAATCGTATGTGAAGCGTAGGGCACACATCCTCTGCTGCTGCAGGGAAGCGTGGAGCTGTGCCAATTTGCATAACAATCTGGCCATAGCCAGCTTGCTTGATTTACTTTCACTGAAGCTTGGCCCCCAAAGGCCTTTGCTGATTGACATCTGCTTGATAAGTGTGTCCCAGTCATCCTAGGCAGCAACTCTTCACAGACAATAGTACGCTGGCGCCATGCCCAAAGACCGAGGCTACCAGCAGTATGGTCATACAGTTCAGAATCTAGCAGAAAGCCTGTTGACAACTCTGCCGTGTTGAGAACAGCCTCTCCCTGTGTCTCTTGCATGCTTACCCAGCGGTACAGCTCCCATTTGATGGCTGGGCACCCAGTTGTCTGACACTTGTCTCAATTTTCACACCGAAGAAGGAAGAGTCCAGAAGCATTGCTCAGAGATAAAGGAAGGGGGATCTTTTCTGGTGCTTTTCTCACACCTTTGAGGTGTGAAACGTCTTGAAACAAATCAAGAACATCTCTTGCAGCAGATGCCCCTGTGCTGTCATTCCCTGCTGGAGCTGAACCACTGCCACTCCAGTGACAGCTGCTATGGACAAGTAACTTTAAAAGGGAATCTTCTGCTGGCTCCAATCCCCAATCCTTTACCAGCACAAGTGATAGAATGCAGCGGGCTTTGTTCTTTGAGTCTTATTCCTGCCATCATTGCAAGTATAAAGAGGTCTCAAGATCAGTCTCACAGTGAGGAGAAGGAAGACACCAGAGTGAAACAAAAACACAGGAAGAAACTTTAAGACCATGCTGCTGGCAACCAGTGTACCTCACTGCTGGCAACTAGAAACAGCTGCTGCCTTCGCTCCTTTTCATTGATCGCTTGTAATAGTTTCTGAGGCCAGCCTTC